ATCAGAACGCAGGTCAGTGCTGTAGTGTTGTACTAGTGTACAGTATGGCGATGCAATATTGCATCACTGTATCAGTATGCAGGTAAGGGCTGTAAAGTACAGAACAGCACTCTGATATTCTATTAAACCACATAGTATTATATCAGACCAGTACATACCACAGTAGTACTACACTATTGAAAAGTATAGCTCTGTGGTGTACTGTTACACCAGCCTTACGTCAGCAGTATTATGGGATATGGAAACTGTATCCTTTCATATTAGTACTTTTGAAACAGCAAGTCACTGTTGCCTTTACCGCAAATTTGTACAATAGAAAACACAAGACTGACCAGTGATGGACTGACACACTTATGGAAACATGTTCTTTCACCTCGGTTCATCCTGACAAAAGGGCAAACAAACGAGCGATCCGGAAAATCGGATGCAGAGAAAGAATAGCAATCACCAAAGACAATGGATTTTAAAAAAAAGAAAAGACAGGAATGTTCTCGTAGCTGGAGGTGCAGTACTTCAAATCACCACCAGAGGAGGCAATACCAGTCGCAGCTTCACCTTGAGAGAGTGAGGGAGGGAGGCGCACTCATGCACTTTGCCAACGTGTTTTGAGAAAAATGTTTCCTTATTGTCACAACATTTTTACAACCCGACAGCCTTTTTCTCAGGATACAAAAGCAGGGACGAACTCTGCGTAGTGACTCACGTTGTCAAAAGGGCAATGACCGAGGCAATGTAATCTACACGTGCTCACATTAGGGGGCAGTATTGCACAACTGAAACATTATTGTACCGTAAAACTCTCTACTCTGTACATATACTTACAATATGCAAAATAATGCATGCCAAATACAGCTCATTCTCAGTTTGAACTGGACATTGATACACATGCAGATGGGAATAAACTTCGGGAGAAAAATCCCTATGTACCACATTAACCTCCGTCTTTCCTTTGCCTCTCTCAGCATAGTGTTAACACAATCATAAAATCTACGTCTACTCTCTCGTGCTCAGTGCAGTGTTAATGTACCAAAGTGTTAAAGCTCTCTACAAACCACTATTCACACCACTCACTGTCTCTTCCCAGCCCTTCCCAGTCCACCCACATGTCTCTCTCTTCCTTTCTCCACCTCACTCTACCACATTCCTTTCCAAGTAGTCAGTTAGTACTGGATTCATTCTCACATGTTTCAGCACCACCCTGATGGACAGCTCCTATTGCTGAACTTCATACCCTGTGCGCTCTCTCACACAGT